CCTCTAAAAGCAGTCGAACGGCGAAAATCGTCTCTGGTATAGGACGTTGGAGTCCTGCATTGCGTAAGCTTTCTCAATCTTATGGTGAATATCTGTGGAATTCAATTGAGAAATCAACATCAAGGTTGTTATTCGATAACAAGAAATCATTGAATGAAGCTTCCCATGCGATGAACATTCAGTTTATCACGCTCACTCAGCAGAGCTAAGAATTGGTGAATCGTCGCTTAGGTGACATAGGTATTCGTGAATGTTAATTTATAGAAGAAAAATTAGTTTTCAACACTGAAGATTAATTGTAGTTTTCAACATTAAAGTGAAATTTTACAATTAGTAAAGCGCTCCAGTTTTACCACAAGTCGTTATCGATTAACAACCTAGCTCGAATATTCTCGATCCAATGTTGGAGTTTGGAAAATTTGTTGAACTTAGAAAATTGAGTGGCACCTTCAGGTCGTCGACTGGCATCATTGATGATCGGTGTGGAAGAGCAATTGGCTGTAGAATTGAGCGAAACGATCGTAACCGAAGCTGTTCAAGAAGCACTAANAAACTCTTTGCTAGTCATTAGCGATTAGATATTCCCAGCAAATGATCTCTTGAAGCCAGACTGTGTGTTCGCTGAAGATATATTGCAGCTATTCTAAACGTGAGCTCATTTAGAAATTTATATGAGAAATTAGCCACCATACCTATCGAATAAAGACAAACTTTGATAAAATTTTGAAATTTGAAGAATAGCTTGGAAATGGAAGGTGGTAGTTCATGTAGAGGAATGCTTGCAGGGTGAGTTAGAGGAACTGGTCGCGATGGTTCCAACACTGCGAGTAGTTTCGGTGCAATACGAACATGCCAACTGGAGTGTGGTGGCCGAGAAATGTGATACTTCAATAACACAAAGCCAAAAATATACTGTTTCAAAATCATCTGCTGTGACCAACTGAAGTTTATGTACAGATTGATAAAGATTATTACTTGATTCGTTGCATCTGTTAAAAATTGCTAACGTCTCAAATGCCCAATTCGATATTCATTCGTGGGAACAATCAAGTGTTGGTGATAAAGAAACCATCGACCTTATGTTCATGTTCATCGACTTTCTTGCAATAATTATATGCCAATTGCGATCGTAAACCGTGCTGTTTTTGCCGATTGTGGTGATATATAGACAGTCACATCCCGAATGAAAGGCTTCACTT